GTCTTCTTCTTATTTTGGTAGTTTTAAGTTGAAAGTAAAATAAAAAAAATTTTTGAATTTTTTTCTGATTTCTGCTTTCACACTCTGGCCTGAATTTATTAATTTTTTATTTATATGGCTGGATTTGAGGGCATCGTGAAAGATGTGACGCCCTAAACGGCGGTAAGCTAGTCACTCGCAGAGGTAATGCTCCAGCAACTCGTAATTTTCTGTGCGTGCTCTGCACTCAGCCGGTTCCACTTCACCAGCTTGTGGGGATGCTATTTTTGGGGTGGATGCCCCACAACAATACTAAGTTATCGTTCACTCAAAGTTAGTAACAATTTTTTCAGTCTACTAAAATATTTTAGTGGTACGTCCTACAGTGGAAATGTTCCAAGACCTTAAATGTTGCTCCATTGTTCACTGCCTGAGACAGCGTTTGAAGGCGCTGCAAGATCTAAGGCAGTCGATGGGGACAATATCGCCCACGGTCATCGACAGCTCCAGCCAGTTCAGTCGCATTTTAAATTTGTTTTTCATCCGTGTCCGAGTGATATTCACTTTGTTTTCCCGCAATAGTCCAATTAATTGCTTCTTTGCAAGTTCTTACGCATTTGTTTACCAAAACTCTAATAGATCCTTTTGCTAAAGCCTTTACCTATTTGGCAGCTTGTGTAGAGCCTAAAATTCTTGATTGTAGTCCTCGACGCTGAATCTATCTTGGTTATTGACGCAGTTATGGATACCTGGACTGTTAATGATAGGCCAGCCTCCGGCCCGTTCTTTCCTACTAGGAAAGGAGTAGCTTGCATTTTCCCGGCAGCAGATTTCCGTTGCTCGGTGGCATTTTACGTTCAGCCCGAATTCTTCTATAATTTTTTGTATGCATGGCAGCACAATTGGGGTACTTGACCCAATACTGCCGAATATTTAAACAGCTAGCTGTTAGCGCTGCTGCAAACATCACTTGCGCGTCAATTGGCCTTATATCAGGGATGGCTCAGCCTTTGCTACACTTTTTTTTAGTGACGCCCCTCAATTCCTGGCTGGCCGAGAATGTTAACAAAGTTGAAGGGAATTACAATGTTAACTCTTAAAAATGGTGTGGCGAATTGATGAACTTTCATCTTTCTAAATCGTAAAGAAGCAGATCCCAGATGTTTTCAGTTTCATTGAGAGACTTTTTCCAATAAATTTAGATTTCAAACGCTCTCTCCATTAACCGTGTTAGTCGGTTGGAAGAAAGGATGAAAAGATTATACGCATAATATAACACCTTTAAATTTTCTGCTATCAGCAAGTGAAATTACGGGTTTATCAACCCCCTGCGGGTTAGGTCAAGAATTTACCCGTGTTAAGGCACGTCTGTCGTAAGAGGCGAGTAAAATCCAATAGTTCCCGCGACAGTCGGGTGTTTCTACCGGAACGAAGCAGATTTTTATCCGGCCAAGAACTGTCACTCCCGCAACATTCCCCACTAAGTACTTTGAGAATATTTTTGCGGTTACAACAATAACAACAACTGGTTTATAAAAGTGATCTACACACACATGAAGACCAAATGCCCCCTAGTGCAGCGCCACATACCACATAGAGCCCCTCCATTGCTCAACATAAATCAAATAAATTCTGCTTGATTTATAAAGAGGTAATCGCGAGAATTTTTAAAAATATATTTTGTTATTTTTTATTAATTTTTTTTAATAATTTTTATTACCTTTTAGTTTTTTGTGATTTGCTTTTATAATTTTTGAGTTTGTTTTCTTTTCTTAAATTTTTATTTAAAAATTATATAATTATTTTATATATTTTTTTTTTTGATTTTCACAATTGTGAATCTCGTCCAATCACTATCATTACTCTATACATTTATGGCAATCGTTTGTGGCATATTTTTCGCATTGATTTGTTCGCATTAAGAAAACGCAATAATTTCATTTGTGATTTTTTTGTTTTGTTTTTTACTTGACACCGAAATAAAATATACATATATTTTCGTGCATTTCGATTATTGAGTATTTCTTAATCTTTTTCTTGCTTTCTGTGTAATAAAAACAAAAAATTTTACTGGTTTGTTAATCGCTGTAAACGATCATAATCATCAACGCTATCATCATCATAATGGCAGGTCTCATGGTCAATACAAATCGGCGCTCACGTTTTGCACATAATTCGTGTAAGCAATTGCCAAAAATGTGGCAATGATATTACAAAAGAAGATCTGGTTAATTTGAATGAAAAACAAAGAAAAAATTCATAAAAATCCAATAATTTTGTAAATGCGAATTCCAAGTGTAACCAATTGGCAGGAGAATTTCATTTCAATTTTTCGCACGCAATTCCGAAAGTGAAAATGTTCGTTGAGAGTGACCTAATTTTAAATGCACATCAATTGAGAAAAGGAACGTTATTACTGAGAGTAAAAATTCCACAGTAATTTTAGAGTTCAGTTCATTATCAATTGATTGACTGTTTCAGCAGTTGATCTCAATGGTGTTCTGACCGCAGTAATAGTGCATCACCGACTCCCGGGACGTCGAGGAATCGTGCGCCCAGTTTGCGTTCGGATGTTATTCTCGCTGTTAAGTTTCTCAGCACCTTTTTCTCATTCTACAATCTTTCCTGTTACAGTCTTTCCTGCTTTCCTTTCAGACTCCGATCTCTACTGATCAATATTTTATAAAGCAGAGTCGACCCTTCCATTAATATTGAAATATTTGCGATTATAACAAAGTGAGTAAAAGAGAAAATTCATTCACCAGATAAAAAAATATTCTGCGCGAAGCTTCGTAAGAAGAGTAGACTCGCTCAGATTGTTTGATTATACAATACATGAAAGAAGTTAGAAACCTTTCAATTCGTGGTCTCAAAAGTCTCAAAAGTAAAGAGCTGTTTTCGACATTTGTCAAACTGAATTATCAATCCAAATATGTTTGGTTCTAGTTAAGAGCCAAGCATTTATGAAAACGGATCGCTTAACAACCGCACAACGCGTTAAAATTGTTAAACCCTAATACAAAAATGGTGATTCAAACGTGGCTAAGAGGAGATTATAGCATGGACCGATTAAGCAATCGGTAAAATTTTAAACAAAGTTGAAGAGACTGGATCAGTTAAAGACATCGTTCCATCTCAAATATCACTACCGTAAGCAAAAGTGTAGCTGAAGCCCCGAGTATGTCTATTTCTCGACGAACTGGAACTTTATGGCAAATTTTCAACATGAACTTACACTTAGACCCATATGAAGTCCAACTCACAAAACAACCGTAGCCAGCTGAGCATTCATAAGGCTCTACAATTTACACCGTTGGACTTTTTTGTAGGGCAACGCGAAAATACTGTTGTATAAAAAAAGTGTAGTATAAAATTTTATAGATGTCTGAAAGGTGCCACGGGTCTCGAATTTTTTTTAACATTAAATGCAATCGTCCCTCAATCGCGATCTTCGTACCTTTCCAAAATTACTGCTTTACGAAATATGAGCGTAAGCTTGATCCAACTCAATACATTTGCCTAAGGAATAAATGAAAAAAAAAATTCACAAAAATATCTCACTTCTCACTTGAGTTATTTCTTATTTTGATATTGAAAGGAAATTGTTCCCCTGAAAATATCGATGGTTTCGTTCATTAATTATCTCTCCTTTCACCGTAACTGTTGCTCTAGGCTCATTTTCGACCCCATCGGACAGTAAACTGCACCAAACAGTTTCACGTTGAGTATGGAGAGGTTTTTCAAGAATAAATCTAGGGTTTTTCGAGAGCCAGGTGCGATAGTTTTGCTTTTTGACGTAGCCATCAAGGTGGAGATGGGCCTCATCAGTCAATCAATGAAATCTTTATAGTAAATTTTAATATTTTCATTGCGTTTTTGAAGCGTGTAAATTTCTATTTTTATGACTAGCTTAGTTTTTATTCGTCAAATATCAAAAAATTACAGCTTCAACAGTGACATCTACCGGAAGCGCAGAATATTATAATAAAAACTCTAATGGAAAACCCTTTAGTGTGGAGACAAATGTCAAGCTTTAAAAGACTTAGTTAGGAGAATCATATTTTAGTAGAGATAAGAAAGACACCAACTAATAATTCCACTAAAAACGATCCTAAGAACGCTATCTCCATTCAAATAAATCTTTGCCAAAACATATTTACATAAAACAATGTACGTTTAATATTTATTCAATATATATATGTATATACATTTCTCATTAAAAGCATTACAATTTTCGCATTCAAAATAAAAAACATCAATAAAATATATTATATATTTTTAAATGTATTTTTCTTTAATAAAAATTAAAACATAAAGCTGCCCAGGTTTGATCGATTAATACGACATACATATGCACGAGTATATTCAACTAAGTATGTACTTTATATTTTTAGATTATTTAAAATTTTCACATAAAATGCTTTCATTTTGGTATACGAGTATAACATAACATATATATATATATGTGTTTTATTAATCTTTGATTTTAAATAAATTTTCTTTTATTTTAAACTTTTTATTTTTGCATTATTTTTTTTTTTTTTTGTATTTTGTTAACTCATTTAACTTGTTTAGTTTTTTTTTTTAATTTTGATTTTTCTGTATTTTGCATTTTTGCCTACAAACTACGAAAAATTATTGTTTTCATGTCAACATTTACACTTACATATATAATAATAATTATAATAATTATAGTAGGAATAAACTTTTTTGAAATACATATTTATATATAACACTTGTTTCTGTTTGTCCGCCGCTCACTTAAATACATTTACACAATATTAATTTAATGTTTATAAATGTTTTTATTTTGTTTTTAAAGAAACTTATTTTTTTTTTCTGCCAAAAATTTTCACTATTTAAAGCTAACTATAATTCATTATACATATATATGTATGTAAGTAATTATTGTTGTTGTTACATTTCTAGGAACATTTAAAGTTGTTTTATTTAATACTAACATAACATAAATATAGCACATACATACGAGTATATAGATCAATATGTTTAATTAAGTGTGAATGTATGTATGTATAGTTTTTTTACGAAAAATTTTTGCTAAAGCTTTTTATAATTTTGATGAGAGTCACGAACTCATATTGAAACCGCATAAAAATATTTTCAGTCGCCTAAGCGATTGGATTAAGTAAGCGATAATTCTTTTTTTTCAATTTTGATTCATTAAACAAAATAGAATTAATTAATTAAATTATCTATTAACATTCAACAAACATTTTGGACATTCTTTTTAATGTCAGGAAAATTAAAAAAAAAAAATACAAAACAATAAAATAGTGAACTTGAAGCTGCCAGCTGCGCTGAGAAGTGTTAATGAACCACAAATTTTTAGCAAAAGCTAACAAAAAGCTTCCGTAATATATTTTTTATATTGAAAACTTACAAAAAAGCTTGAGTACTGCTAGTTCACGTCTGTACTTTCAGCCATATATCAAAAGTTTACAATAATATTTTAGCTTGTGCTTCATAGAGAATCACTGAGCTGGAGCTTTGTGGAGCTTTCACTTGATGTGGTACTTAAAAAGTGTTTTCAAGGTGCATACGGTTTTTACCAAAGTTTGTTTTTGGTATTAATTAGGCCCATACTAACCTTTTAAATTTTTATGAAATTTGTTAAAAATATTAAACTACTGAAAGCTCTGCTAATAACAAATGGTTTCTTAAAATATCTAAAATACCCTTTTGCTTATAGTTATAGTTAACTGAATATTTGCTTCACAAAACTTTTTTTTTTTTTTAAATTTTAAGTCTACGAAAGCTATGTAGCAAAGCAAGCTTTCATGTTTTACAAAGTCCCATCCATTAAATTGTAAGCGTAATAAATAAACTATTCTCTCAGCTAAACTTTTAAAACTTGTAATGAAAGCTTTCATATATCGTTATATAATCCTCAATGCCGTTAATGGCACAGAAACATTTTTTGCAGCTTATTAAAAGTTTTATTTTCTAAAGCCTCACAAAACATTCTTAACTGCCTTGAATGTCATGAAATATATTATATTTCGAATTTTCAAAACTAATGCATCCAAAAAGCTTGCACCCTCCTTTTACTACTTTTAAACCGGAGAAAAATTCAGCAACAGTTAGGCGCTTAAAGCTTAGTCACTGGAGTTCAAATATTTTTTGAAATAATAAAATTTTAGACAATATTAATTAATATTTTTAATATAATATCAAACTCAAATATTTCTTAAAGCTTAAATGCGCAGCTTTTTCAATGATGCATTTCTAATATAAATTCTCGTTTATGTCTGGTTAACGCTCTCGCGCATTTTCGTTTTCTTTCTGTGCTCGTTTTAACATTTAACATTTTTCTCGAAAATTTCTTCTTTCTTTGCAACATTTTCGGTTATTTTAGTCCTTCTTCTAGCTGCAGAGCTTTACATTTTAAATCCTTCTCAGTGTTTTGTATTTTTTGATTATTTTAAATTTTTGGTTTGTCGTCAACGGTTTTATTTCACTTCTCTCCATTCTCACAGTCTACGGCTTTTCTAACTTTTAATTTGAATTTTTTTTTTAATTTCTCTGTTTAATAGTAACGCCCATTGTCATACATTCCTCGTGCGCCATATTTTCGTGGCGCCTCCGCTCCATCCAAGCCGTTCAGTTTATTCAACCAGGAAACTCTCTGTGCCAATGTATTGCCATTTGCCTCGTTGGGTGGACGTTGCTCCTCATTGCTGGATTCCAAAATCTGTAAAACGTAAAAGTGTAAAAATAGCGATTATTTTTTTTTGTGCTTTCTAGGTTGGATTCTCCAAATATTGCTCAATTTATTATGTTATTTCAAATTAAAAAATCGTAATCTTCACTTTTAAAAAAATGGAGCATTATGAAATAGAGACTTTCAATCAATTTGGTGCTATTTCTCTTTCATCTCACCCAACTTTTACACCAAGTACTTGATCTTGCTTCTGGAGAAAGAAAAATTATCAGTGGCAACCCTAACTGAACATTGTCTGGTTGACTCTTATCGAGCTGTCTAGATTACTGTTAAAAAAACCACTTTTGCCTTGTGACTGTGTGACGTTAGGCCTAGGAGCTACTAAAACTACCAACTTTTTTACGATGAATTGCTTGAGTTCAGTCAAAAGTTCATTCCAATGGGATCATTTATTAACTGCTGTTAATTTCAAAAGCTTAGATTGATATTTATAAGGGACCCTGAACGTTCAACAAGAAGGCCGTTCTTGTAGCAGAGAATTTCAGGTCAGATGTATGATCTTACGAATATTTGTTATTTCTCAAAATTCGATACTAGGACCCTTCCTTAAGGCCTCAGTTTCCACACCCATGATTTAAATACTTAATACATGCCGTTCATGGGAAGATCATTCGTCTTCGCCTTAAAAGTCTATAACATCGAGGTACAGTTGGCCTCCAATAGGCTCTTAACTACAACCACAATCGACAAAGTCGGGGTCCGTGAGATCATAACCTCCAAAATTTTTTGGTTTTCAATATTTTCTTTGCCAACCACTTTCAGAAGCTTCAATAGACTCAGAATTTCTTTCTCAACGCAATATAGTACATAATCCCAAAACCCCGTCATCAATTTTCATATTGGCAACCTCGGGAATACGAAATTCAGCTCTTGGATCTTTTTATTCCTTTGCTCTCTGAGGAGTAGGGCAATATTGCTAAGCTGCATACATTCTCGCTCTTGATTGTCGTGATATAAAAATCTTGACGGCTTAACGTTACCTCATACGGTTTCCCTAACAGCCTTCGTTGTAGTTGCAGTTGAAAATGAACTTTTCGCGGTTGAACTGGGAGTTCGTAAGGATTTCTGGCCACTCTTAGTCGCCCACTAGAATGTTAGTGGCACTCAACTAGACAATTTCAAACTCGATTTAAATCTTTTTTTTTTTTTTGAACATCGATCACTCCGGCAGATATTCCAACAAAAAAGGAATCTTTCTGCATAATCTCTCACCCGAGTGGGGGAGTCTTATCCGGCAATGGTATTGGAGGACGCCGACTGTCTTAAGAGGAGGCTAATTCTTCAAAAAGTAAAATTCATATGATCGGTGGTGTATTCATTTGTTGGAAAACTATCAAGACGCACACCTAAAATTGGAGGAATACAACGCAGCGGTGCCAAAACACCAATGCGTTCACCAATCTCTACAAGAGTTGGCCAAACAAAGGTGGGGAAAAGTGGAAGACCAATCAAATTCCAAGTGGCACGTAGTTTTCAACCCTTTTTTGGAGGTTAAAGGGGCGCCTTGAGATCTCACTTAGAGTCTTCTTTAAGTAATTTGTGCTGAGAGGTCCCTCGATTTTTGAGTTGTGTTCTAGATAATGATGCCGCACGGAAACAGAGAAGGATTTGTTACGTCTCTGAAATTGTGTCAAGATCGCGCGCACCAACTGGTTAGGCGAACCACAACCAAGAAGACTCTTCCCTCTAAAGAACGAATTGATGTATACTTTACTTCATGCAAATGAAAAGAATGGAACCCTATTGCGATTTGCTGTAAATCTGAATAAATTTGGCAAAAATGGAATTGGGTAAAAATCCAGCGAAATGTTGTCCCTGGAGAGAGAGAGAAAGAGAGAGTAACTTGGCAAGCTGCCGTTTGTTAAGACCGGGCAGAAAGGCTGGAATTGCCTTTTAGAGAATGTGTCGGAAGGAGGAAGGAGTTCAAAGAAATGATATTTCTTCATTTATCTGAATATTCGGCGCTGGCAGTGCTAGACTTTGATATTTGGGAGCCACTTTCTCTGAAGGTCTGTCTAATGGGGCAGTCGTCTAGGTAGGAATCAAAGTGGATTGGCAGGGAAACTTATTGGTCGTGATAGCATCGTGTTCTCACAATGGACTAAGCTCTGATCTGAATGTTTTGTTACTCAAATACATATGTGTGTGTGTGTGTGTGTGTGTGTGTGTGTGTAAGTGTGCATATAAACTACCCAAATTAAGTATCTTCAATGAAAGAGGAAAAATATCAAGAAATAAATATTAAACATTTACAATGAAAAATTTGCTATCATTTATCAGTGCAGTTAGTAAACAGTATAAACGACAACAACAACAACAACAACAACAGCAAAACTAGGTAACTTTTTAACACTTAAAACACACGAAAAGTGTTGGACATGCAACGCAACTCCACCGACCGTACAGCCCACAGCGGGTAGTCAAATGCACTAACAACAACTTTTCATACACAACCAAACAATGTAACTGAATTATTTGCAAACAAAAACAAGAGGGGGAGGTGAAGAAGAGAGCGAAAAAGAAGACGAAGAAGCAGAGTGAAAACAAAACGTCTGTTCGCACATTTCTTCTGTGTGTGTGTGTGTGTGTGTGTGCGTGTGGGAAGTTGGCAGATTTTCCAACGAAAACGCTAATGTCTATTATGAGTATACAGATATACATATATACAAGTTTATATAAGTATGTACATTTTTATATGAAAGTTCGCTTGTTTCTACAAACATACATATACATATAAGTATACATATACATATACATATACATATACATATATTACATATACATAAATCTCTTAGATGCTGCAAAAATAAATGTGTTAATGTGATAATAACAACATTGTTAAGAGTGTTATATACATAACACATAAAATATATCTACATATGTATATACATCTCGTATGTACGTTTGTGTAATCACTGAGAGCCTTACAGTGGAGGATGTTGCAAGCACACACAGCAGGTAGCAAGTTTAGTACAAGCATATAATGATTAGACTTGGATTTCAATGTGGTTGTTGTTGTTGTTGTTGTTGTTGTTGGTGTTGCTGTTGACTACTGGTTGCTGCTTGGCAATGCTCATAAGCGCCAAAAGTTGCGATCTCATCAACGACGTCTAATCTTTATTATTTACCTACTCAGCTCGGTCGGGTTTCGCTCTAATCTCACACTATTGTTGTTATTATTGCTTTTTTACTGCTGCTGCTGTTGCTGTTGCTGTTGTTGTTATTATTATTACTTAAAAAATTACACTGACGCGATAATAACAAATTAACTTTAACAAATGAATTGTTGCTAATTAAAATGTGGCAACAACTACAATCAAACGCAGCGTTGAAGCTGCAAGTATGTAACCGAAAACGAAAGAGTAAGACGCAAACCACACGACAAAGCAGCAGAGCTTAGCAACGACTGTAGAATATGGTAGGCGTGTGTGTATGTATATTTCGAAGGGATGTTACGGTGATAAATCTGCTGGAGATGGATCTTGAAACGAAGTTGGGGACCCCCGTTCGATCGGAATGCGAAACTTCCTTTGATGCAAGAATCCAAACTGAACTGCAAGTTCTATCCAGAAGAAGTTTTAAAGCCAAGTCGTACATTCAACCGAGGCCGTGCTCCAAGCCAAAGTCGAACTACAACCCGAAGACGAAGTTCGAACCGAGATATGAGTCATAAAAAAAGTCGTTGCTTAAACTTAAATCGGAGTCCAAACCGAAATCGATGTTTCATCCCAAGCTTTGGGTCGAAAGTGAAATAAACTAAACCGAAGTTAGGGGGGACAGCGCCTAGGTCGAATGTGAAGTATGAACCTGTATTCATTTTATAGTCGAACTACAAATGCAGAGTTTGAGCAAAAGTGGGAGTCAAAGCTGAAGTTGAAATTCTATCCAAAATTTGGTGTCCATAGCTAAGTCGGAGTTAAAGCCACAGTTGGAGATAGAACTAATCAGGTGGAGGTACGGATGTGGAATCTGATTTGCTGTCGAAGTATGAATAGAAGTCGAACTCTTGTCCAAAGCTATTGCTGACTGAGAAATCAGTGTGCAAGCCGAAGCGAAATGAGAATCTTAGTCGAGGTATGAAGGCAGAGTCTGAACCGAAGTCGAAGTCCCATCCGAGGTTGGAATTCCATTCAAAGTAGAATGGAATCTCGGAGTATGATTGGGGAGTCAAAAGTAAAGTCAAAATAAAATAGAAAACCAAGTCGGAATGCTATTCAAGCGTAAGCTAAAGTAGAAACATTTCTGAAGTACGGTTTCCAGATTTAAGCCGAGATCCAAGTCCAAACTGTGTTCGGAATCCTATCTACAGTCGGAATTTAAAGTGAATTCGCACCATAGGCGAAGTAAATTTGAAAGCGAAACCCGAACGGAGATCGCAGTCCTTACAAAAGTGAATGTTTAAAGCAAAATCGAAGTCAAAGTTGGTTTTGGGAGAACTAATTTCATGGATGTTGGCATCAACTTTGACTAAAATCTTCAAACTCTTCTTCCTTTTAAACTTTGGGCTTCTGAATGATTTCAGCATGAAGACTCACAGTCAAAAGAGCTATGAAAGGGATGATCCTACTAAATCCATAATCATACTTCTTCGGAACCGAAATCTTATACCACCTTGATGTAAGGTGAGTTTACGGAAACGAACTTTATGTAAAGCCAGAGGAGAGACCAATTACGAAATCAATTTAAACTATCGTAGAAAACTAAAACTTAATTTCAGAATGAAATATCGAATTCCAATATTGATTAAATAGTTCGATCTTTTAGCACCCAAGTCTTATATACCCGGTAGCAGTCGTATGAGTAATACGCACTATCGGTGTTTTATGGCTACAAATTTACCGAAAACGAAGACAGAGCTGAATAAAATGCGGGCCAACTGTGGAGCGTAGTACCGGCGGTCATGAGAGTCGGAATATTGTAGTCAACTTATCCAAACTCGACCCCGGTAAACAAAACGTATGTCTTGAATG